GTAAGTATTCGCCTCAATTTATAGCTAATTTATTTTCCACTTAAAGCACAAGAAATAATTAAACTCTATATCAGCGACAGGGGAAATTTAATCCAAAAACCGCACCTTTCAGGGTACCGTAGCTCTTTATGCGTTCTTATAGATTTATTCCTCGGGAGGTCGTGGCTAACTGACACTGTATGTCGATTGGCAATCGAGGAATGAAACTATAGATTTACCTAGTCACAATTCTCAATGGCAGATTGTCATCACCCCTACACATGTACAGTCCCGCTTGCATGCAAGTATTACGCAAACAAAATGTCACACACATTCATGTATGCACGCGCGCCCATACATACACACACACACACACACACGCGCACACACACACGCACACGCACACGCACGTGCACACATACACGCGCACGCCCCCCCCCCCCACACACACACACATACCGTAAAGTATGTCTGAATCACTATAGTTTAAAAGTTTCCCCTCTCTAGTTCTTTAGAATTCCCCACACTGCCTCAGCAGTGTCTTATACAAAAACTGTTGATTGAAGAATTAATTAATTTGGCTTTTGATATTTCCAAAACGTTTCGACTGATGGCGATTTAGGCATGTTTTGTTCTGCGCTGACTGTTAACTCACATCTGTTAACTTTTCAACTCGTACTGTCATGGTTTAATCATCCAAAGATGTACGCTTGCCTTGTATTATTCCATTGACGTTAACAGTGTAAATTTCTTTCCAAGCTCAACTTCACCTACTACAACCCTTACGCTCTTGTTCTACATGCCTAAATGATCGGTCGGCCTTGTGGCCTCTGCAAAAGAGTGGTGTGTCTTAAGGCGCATTTTTGTCGAGAAACCCATGTACATGCGGGATAGTAGAAGGCGAGTGTTATGTTGTGTAATTATATGTACAATTGTCAGTCTGTGTGTGAAAGAGAAGTAAACCCATGCAGGATTGAGCGAGTTTAAGATGCTTTATCTAGTTGTGGTTAGAGGTTGCTTTCAGAGCTAACTCATAGATATATACTTCAAGACCTCTATTATTCAAAAGTCCTTAATAATTAGAAAATAGCCATTTTTTCGTGTAGGAAGCTTATTGAATCATGAAAGATAAATTTGTAAATGTTTAGGTCCAACCTAACATAATGATGTTCATATTTTCCGCAATAAATGAACTGTTATTAATTTTAATTTTTCCATTTTTATCTTTTCATTGGTCCTTTAGATAATATATTAAAGTGATTCCTTTAAAAGAAAACACAAAAGAAGCCATTATATTTATTTTTTATTCAGTTGCTCTGATAAATACTAGATATCTTCCCCATTGTTATAGTGAAGGATTTATTCTTTCGGCTGGCTATGTTATCCCCATAGTCGTGACCCATAAAATGCATCAAAAGACCTTTAAAAAGGGTCTTTCACCTGATAGAAGAATTGATGTTGTGAATGGTACGTTTTTAATTCTAAATTAATTTCTTAAGGCCTATCTGTTGTTGCTGTATTTATGAGAGGTTATTCAGATAGCCTTTTGTAAGGTTATATGTGCAAAGGGGGCACTGGAGGAAACACTACTTCTGTCGGCTGTGTCTCACTTTTCTTTCGTTGTTTTGTGTTTGTTATTTATATTTAGATTGGTCCACCCACTTTGCCACAGGAAATATATTTTTGCTTTTATAGGGGACTCCAAAACACCTGCGATCTGTACAGACTATGTTAAGGTCCAGATAATCAGTCGACTCGGCTGATATGTCAGCCTGCTCATTGCCATGAATACCAGAGTTGCCTGGTACCCATATTAGCTTTACTCTCCTTTGGCACTATGCCGTTTGCGGTCGATATTACCCAGCAATACATTTTTAGAAGTGAACTTAATGAGTCTGAAAAAAAACTATTCTATCGTAGGTCGTCGATAGTGCAAAATCTAAATATCAATACCAAAAAGTTCTGCAAGAAATATCGATGTATGATTTGGCAGTCGGAAGTATATATATAAAAGGAATATGTTTGGTAAGGATTTCATGGACTTAGCCAGACTTCCATGACGGAAAAAATGGGGGTTTCCCATGGTGCAATATTTGGCTGGACCAGGGTATTGATGGTAGAGAGATCTGTACTGCCTTTCGCGACGAGGTCGTGCAGTTGCATGGAAGAAGGCCTAATGCCACTATTTCTGGCCGCGTCTGAGTCAGATGGGCAGTACTCTTGATACCACCTTCAAACACTCGATCCGAATGCTATTCAGGGCTCGAAGTTATATACGCAAACAAGCATTCTGCGCAGCATCCAAACCTTTCAAATCTGTGTCCAATGTCGACTCATACACGAATGAGGATTAATAATCTACTATTCTACTTCAGACCTTACTAGGGCATTATATATAATTAGTAAAAACTTGCTATCAGCTCCCCATTTATTTCCAGCAAAGCTCTTTGATATTTATTCTTTAATTGGCCAATAAGTTTTTGATAAGTATTGGTTGTTTATGATAAATTAGCCTGATGTTCGGTATCTTCTTATGTAAAAAAAAATACCCCTATAATCTTTCTTGTGGAAAAATTACCAGTTACGAATCGTATCCAGTGCCAATTGGATTCAATTTGCCGAGAATTCTGCATTGCTGCTGGAATGCCAAAATGCGCAATCATCGGCATTAATAACATTTTGTTATTATTATTATCAGATTCCAAGGGGGAGCTGGCAAAATGTTATTTATCGTACATAAAAATAATGTACTGTCTTGGACAAAAATGTCAGAAAAAAAAATGACAGAAAGTTCTGTTAGCAAGGAAATTTTGAATAAAAAATCCATTTCCACATAATGTATAAGTATAAACTTTTCTGAGTAGACCATATCGCCATGTCATGTAGGCTTTTTCTAAATGAATTAAATTTTACAAGATTTTTTTTCTTATTCATTTTACTAACAGTGAACCACATCTGTGATATCTGCCGGGAGCCCCTTTGTCTCATTGCTCTACGAGTCCTTACTTACTAGATTGTAATTGCAAAAGTTCTCAATATGTTATTTTTGAAAAATCTGTAGGCCCTATTTTGTTAACACAGCGCCCTGCGGTAATCTAACAATTTCGCGCTTGACGCTCCTTGTGAAGGCAGCCCAGTGTGCTCTTTTCATGTTTGAGGGAGATAGGAAGACATCCTGTGCAAGATGATCTTTTCCTGTGAAGAAGAACAGACCAGAAGCAGGGATCGCCTGGGTGAGGTGAAGTTTGGGCTGTGATTTGGTATCATCCTTCTTATGATGATTTTGCTGGGGTGATTCAGCAATTTCCTTAACCTTTACCGCCATCTCTTGACTGATATTACCTGCATTTACTGTTTCATTGTTGAAAGAATTGAGTTTGCTTGTCAAACCTTCAATTTTCTTATTGGCTTCATGGTAACTAACTTCATGTTCCCTCTTGTATGCTAAAGTCTCAGTTTCCTTCTTAAGACTGACATATTCAGTAGAGCCTCACCAATATAGGCATATCATGAGATCGAGCATATTTACCACAAGTTAATATATCAATGTACTTATAAATGCATCACAATGAGGTCTGTCCAAATTTTGGCATGTAAGGTTGCACTTCGGCAAGTTCATATCCAATACTGACCTTTTCAGCTATTTTATTGAATGCAAAAGTAAAGAAACACAGTCCAGTTTTTGTTGCCACATCCCTGTCCAGTTTGGTCATACATTTCACTTCTACTACCCTTTGGTCCTTCATATTCTTTAAGATTTTGCTATCTTTCATCGTTCTTTCATCCCTGTGAAAAACCTGGGAAATGAACTGTACTTTAACTAGGAGACTATCATCTTGCAATTTGAGAACAAAAATCAAAACTGCCACCCACTTGACCATCAAGAACCTTTTTAATGATAAATGGAGGGATTGAATTTTAATTACAGAGCAAACATTCTCTGGAAAGATGTGAATTACTGGTTGTACATGTCCATTATTTGTTGGGGCTCTATATGTTGTCAGATTGACCATAGGCGGGTCGTGATGCATCCTCCCTCCTGGAAGAGGGAGTCAGGCATACTGGATGTCGGACTAGATCTGAATCCGAGGCCAACGCAGTGTTTTTGTTAAGCTTCCTCGCCCCTCTCCCCTTAGTGGAAGACTGGTAGCGTTCTCGATCACCAGGTAAGGGATTGGAGGTGTATGTAAAGTACCTCCTTACTGCTGAGACTGCCTAATGCAAGGACGGTAATTCAATGCCCATCTTCAAGTGAATACGGGAGCTTTTAAGGATACTCCGGTAGGCTCAGGAAAACCATACTAAGATTAGAAGAATCATAGCAAGAAAAAAAGTTGTGTCCAAATGATGCCCCAGACTTCTGGGTCTCATTATTGAGGGATTGAAACCTGCAAGGGCTACCCTTGGTAGAAGAGTTGTAGTATCGACTACAACTACAGCAGCCTTGTGTTACCTTTAGCAAGTAAAGGCACTGATGGTGTGTCATATTCTGTTCTGTATACACAAATAAGTTAGAATTTGTTTGTTAATGCAGAAACAACATCCAGGAAGATGCAAGACCCCTGCATTCCAGGGTAATTCAGGTTGCACAAAACATGTTTTCTGCTGCTGCATTTTTATGGAAATGCGAGTGATACAAAGTCTCTGAGATGAGTGTGGTTGTACCTTCTCATTTTTCACATTTGTATTTTGTGGCTATCTTCCAGTAACATGTGTTCAGGTATATTAAGCCAAAGGTTATGAAGGCAATTGTTACAATCTAGATAAGGTCAAAGTTTTGTCTCTCTTAGAAAAGTGATCTGACAAAGGATTCAATGGTGCGAATTTATGATTTTCATTCAGAAGTAACTTTATTAGGGTCTGTCTATTATTGTTGTACTGATTGCATGTCATAAGGAGATAAGCCATTGAACGGTGATATGTGCAATGGGGACACTGGGGAGGAAATCCCTTTATTTATATAATGAGTGAGGTGGGTTAGTCTTGTAGCATTGACTCTCAGGTGTGTTAGCACCATCTGT